TTCGTTGATATATAATTTCTGCAGCTCTTGTTCTTGACGCGACATGCATTATTGTAGCGATTGAACAGATCTTACCAAACCCGTTTAGATTAGATTTAATATTTTTACTTTCTCGCGCTTAAGGGAAAGTTACGTAATTCTGCGCGGAAAAACGGCGAAAACTCCAGGGCCCTCGTAACGAAAAAGTGTATAAATCCAGTTGATAAAGTAGGAGAAAAAAATCCTCTAGCACGTGGTGTAGCCAGAGCCCCTGTATTATATGTATACAGAGACATCGATGGACGGGAAAACGTCTGGCCGCACATCTATCTGTGAGCAACGCTAATGGATAAACCGTTCAGCTGAATTTCTCCAAAATTGATATTCCCCGATCGATCTGGCTGATGTGGTGGCCCCTTGAATTTGAAATTGATATTTTAATTTTGGGGGTTACTTTACATGACGCCCCCGGGACATTTTCAATAACCGGAGCGATCCATTTTCATTAAATTTTGTTGGTGGATAGTCTGAAAGACGTTAAAGAGAAGTTGCAGGACTCACATTTATTGAAAATTCGAATGAACACTTGATTGAATGAACTCTTGAAAAATTTTTCAAAAATAAAAAAAATAAAAAAAAAATAAAAAAACACGGCGCCTTCCTACAACCAAAATACTAAAGAAAGATTTTTTTAAATAAAATGTTTTCCTTGAAGATAGATTTTGAAATAAGATCGCATACAATTTTTCGAAAATTTGAGTATATTTCGCGTAATGTTGCGTAAAATCTGACATTTCGATTAATGGCGATAAAGTACGAGCTGTTTTAGCACCAACAGTTTCCTACTAATTTGTGTTTAGTCGGTGTTAAGAAGGGTCGCGTTAAATTAATTTATCGTGTTGTTGCAAAACAATATATTCATGGGTACACTGACTGAGGAGTGCCTGATTCGGCTCACTACCAAATGAGTTCTAATGAATGATTTTTGGTCAACATGATTCCTGCCGTTTTGCCAATCGATATTATCAATCAGCGATTCCCAACCAATTTTTGGCCAAACCCTGAACTAAATACTTGTAAAATCTTTACGCCCCCTTTCCCCGGCGTTATTTCATTAAGGGGAGGATTCACGTGAGAAAAGACTAGGGACAAAATCGACGTTAACTAATCGAGCTTTCAAAAAAAAGGTTGATAGAATTAAGCAAAGAAATAATAGGTATCATTATATCGTGGTTTATTCCGATAGTATGGAAGTAGAATTCGAAAGTTTGTGTAAATAAATTCTGGGTAATTTAAGGGTTCAACTTCTTTGTGAGTTTATGGCGAGAGTATGGGAGACAACCGTCACTTATTAATCTTTCGGTTCTGGCGGCTTTTATCTTTTTATTCATTAATATTGATCTGCTTGTCAAAATAGCAATTGTGTCCTGCATATTTCCACGGGTTACTTATTACATTCACGTGCAGCACAAACAATTTTACACAATATTTAGAATACCGTATTTATAAAGGAACACTGGAAGAAATAGAAGTGTTTGAAATACGTTTGCTTTTCTCTTCTCGTCATTCTTTACACGAATCGATTATTTCGCCCTTTCTCTCCATTAGTAGGCTTTCCCTCTCTACGTTGTCAAATTAAAATTTGTTTTCCATTCTAGCAACAAATGTGCCACAATAAACTTTGTATATAAGACGCTTAAGACTAGAAGTGCAACAACTTATCTGTTTATAGTTTCTTCAAGAATTGCTTCCATCGAATATGTTTTTTTTTTCTTACTTCACGTTCGTAAGCACGACAAAATATTTTACAACAAATCTTCGAGTCGCCTGAGGAGATATTGGCACTTACGAATCTGCATTTGTTCCGCATTCGCCTTTTAATCTCATTATCCCTGGATTCCATTCCGCGATCAGATTTTCCTCGCATTTCCCAGTTAATCCCCTTTCACTTTTAGCTACCTCAGAAGGCGTAGCCCGATTGCATTCCGAACGGTGTTGTGAGAGGGGGAAGGAAGAAACAGTTTAGCCAAGTTCAATTCGCGAGAAACGCAAATAGATATTCTCGAACACAGGTAAACGAGGCACAACCTTAAGATCTGTTATCTAATTAAAACAATTATTTTAATATTGCGTTACATAAAGGCCCTTTGTCTCCTTGGGTACACGTAGAAACCACTTTCAATGAATTAAGAATATTCAATACAGTTTAATTACAAAATATCAAGATTTGAAGCAATGAACAACTTCAAAAGGAGCATTGGTTATTGTTTTTCTCTTTCATGTTCTTCAAATACGCATGCGAAAAGGTTCTTCGAAACACAGCTCCTATATTCAGGAGGGAAACCCAACGAGATGCAATCGGGCTATGCTTTATTGGGGAAGTAGGTAAAAGGCTTAAGGACAAGTTAAATGCGGGCTGCAATAGGGAAACTTCCAAGCCACTCACCAACGAAGTTTCTGACTGCTAGGCTTAATACTATCGTTTACATTATTTAATATTTTCTGCTACGACATTCCCTGGGAAGGAGACGCAAACATTGCGCTACATGCTGACGATGTAGCAATACAAGCTACAAACTGCGGCTAGTACCATACCAGTAGCAAAAGATCACCTCCAAAACTGTGTAGAAAAACCGGCAATTTTATAGGTCCGGAAAATCTCGAGCATAAATCCATTTCCACTTTCATACACTAGATTTTCATTTAAGTAAAAAAAAAGATTATACTCGTGAAGTTGCAAATAGTTTGCAAGACATTTACTTTTTAAATGGAAATTATTTTCTTCATAAATTCGTCGTCAAAGCAAACTGGAATTCATGGTGCATCCCATCATTCGTCAACGGTTCCATCCTGACCTCAACTGGAGGAACAATGAAAATTGTTAGAAGTAATTGTATCATATACATACGTATCTATAACTTATGGACAACGAGGAAGTCAACCATACCACTATAAAGACGAGAACAAAACAAATTAGATTTTGCATAATATGCGCCCCGGTAGTAATCACAATGAAAAACTTTTACTTTTCTTGCTCCTGTGATATTCTGTTTTCACGATTACTAAAACAACGAATTCGTTACACGGATCGAATCTTCCTTACAGAATTTCTCACACTAGAAACGTTTTTGAGCGTTAAATTAAACCTCCCTCGCCTTCCCCTCCCACTGCACACCTGCAGTGGCGACCCACGCCAGGTCGGCCGCCACGGCGCGGCGCCAACAGCGATCGTTCTGACCTGGATCAGGGCCCACTTCGGCCAATTACGCGTGTTTGGCGATCAGGCCCACACCTACAGCCAAAGGAGTGCGCATACGCATACATGAGGGGACCCTACTAACATTCACGGCTCTTTATCCATTAAACATTTGTTCTTACACATCACACATTCACGTCTAAAACAAATATACACAAACAGAATGGAAATATAGCTATAATTGCACAGCTAATATATTCAGTTTTATGTTTAATTGTTAACAGGGTTGCCGGATGATCTAGAGGGCTCCTTCCACAAATATGTAACAAACCCCAAAATTGTCAGGTAAAATGGTGAAATTCAGGAACTGTACTTAATTAGACATAAAATGTTTTATTACATAAGACAGCTGGGCCCCTTGGGAAAACTTTTTGGGGGGCACCGGCTTATGCCTAAATGGGCCCCTCCTAAGCTGAAATTCTGCCAAGCTTCCTGTTATCTTGCCTTACCAATATTAGTAATGGAAAGAATTAGTTGCTCGTACCAACGATTTCGAAACTAAAATTGCACAAATCTTTTTTTGTTATCGTCAAAAACCCACACTAATCATTAAGCCAGCTAGGAAAAATACACGATTACAAAATAATAATAATAATAACATTCATCCTAGAAATTAGCACACTTTAAAAATCATAGAAGCATGCCATTTATTAAATATTTTACTTGAAGTCCTTGATAATTTACGGAATTTAAGAATGGCAATAAAAATAAGGGATATTAACGGAAATGTTCTCTCATTCTGATTTACGTACAAAAAAAAATATTTCCAATAAACATCTCTAACATTAGTTAATAACAATTACTAAATCTGAATACACGCACTTTAACCGTTTTACATACATATATAGAACAACAACTATACATCAACTGTCATTCCATACTCATCAAATTGTGTCAATCTCGCAGTTTCTTCAGCATCCAAACAATGCAGCAAAAATACGTGACCAATTGCAACGACTCGAGTTTACAAAACCTAAACTTCAGGTCCATGCTTTCATTACATGTTTATTTATAATTTCCTTGTCGGAATTAAGAGTAGTAAGTACATTAACACACAAGCAATGCCTATGAATTAAAATTGGTTGTATTTTTTTAGTCGTATCTCTCTGACAAGTACATAAAGTACTTAGCACATAATCAAATGTATTGAGTTTGCGTAAAGCATGTAATTAATATTATTATTAAAATTATTAATCCAATTTTCCTCGCTTTGTTTATATCCACTGCAAGTGAAGTACGCGTGTCGTTTTTCTGCAATCAATGGCAAAGAGAAACTGTGTGCATTCTCCCGTCTCCCTTCATTGTTTGCTAGGTACCTGCCTCAATTTTTCGCGCCACCGTCACACGAGTTTACCGGCGCACACACAAGTCACGCCATGTCTGCGAGCGACTAAATAGGCTATACACGATTTACCACGGTAAATCAATTACGAAATGTCCAAGAACTCTCATTACTATGTTCTACGATGCTTCCCACGTGCGTAATTCATAAAATGAAGTACAAGTTGGTACTTACTTTCAGTCTATCCTCACTCAAATTAGCCTCCAATGTCGTTTACTCTGTCTTCAGAACCGACTGGACCATGTGCGTTCAAAACACTACGCAATCTTCTCCCACGCTTCCCTCGACGCTCGTCTCGCTTCTTCAACGAGCAATGCGCGTCATGATACTGCCGCCGTGCTTACCGCGATTTGCCGGCCACGTGACCTTGTGAAGAAATGGAGGGGTAGCCTTCGCCCTTGCCTCCCCTCCCTCCAGCCTGCCGCCGGCCGCCTGGTGCTCGGGCGGCAACTGGTGGGCCGGCGCGCGCCGGCGGTTCATATCGCAATTGGAGCAACAGGTCGTTCCAGTCAGAGTAGCAAGTGGCGGTGTTGAAAGCGCTCAAAGATCTCTTTATAATCGCGTGACCGCTTCGAACGGAAGGACACTCAGAAAGCGGGTACCAACGTGTACTGGACGGAGGCAACGGAAGAAGAGAACAACGGAGAACCACCAAAAGTGAAGTACGTTATTATACGTAGAAGTAGTGGGTTTGAGGAGAGATGTATAATACTTTTTTTCATTATAACAGAATTGATGCTAAGTGTACTTTTGCCGGTATGATAATAAGCCATCCTAATGTTGCCGGCATCATCGTGTTTGTGATGGTATCGAACGACCTTCATTTGTACCCCAAAAATATGTCAAGGTCACATGAGTATTGCCCCCTTGTTAGCTGGAATAATTTGGGAATGAAAAGTTTTGTAATAATTTTATTTTTTTGAAATACCGAGGAATTGTCCAACTGTATTGTAACAATGAAATATGTTTTTCTTCTTTGGATTCATTTTACCAGAACTTGAAAAATTATTTTGAAAGTATTATTTAAAAATATTTTGATTAATTATGATACTCGTAAAGTTATTTATGGCTTCTTCCATCTACCTTTAAATTATTAGGAAGTAAAAATTTACATGTGTATTTATTACAGGAATCAAATTGCTTCTAAGAAAAGTAGTCCACTTTTATGGACTACCTTGATTACAATTACTCTTTTAAAATTTATGTGAATGGAAGTTCATTGTGATTGAATGTGATTTATGGTTATAGGGTACCGAGGGTGAATTCAAAACATTGTTCCAGGAAATGGAATATTTTTGTTCAATGTTTCTCCTAATATTGTATAAAGTTAATGAATCTCTTCTGCTTAATCATCCAAAAGTTATTTCTTGGAACCAAAGAATATTATTTAATATTCCCTCTCAAAATTGTACACTAATTCAGATAATAGTTAATGGGGAGTCATTATTTAATATTGTGTATTCTTTAAATCAAATAAATAAAAAAAACAGAACTTTATTCATTATTATTAAATTATGTATAAAAAAGTAACAGCTAAATAAACATTACATTATTGAAGACTGTGATTATAACAATGCTTTTTGACATAAATGAAGTTGTAATTAATAGGTACTTGCGCAAATGTACATAGTAACTTAATGATTCTTGACTTAATTTAAAATCTTAATAAATAATTGTTTAACATTATAGGCAATGGACAAAAAAAGTGGGGGTCAAATGGATATTAAAATTGACGGCCAGGATGTGGGAAAACTGGTGATTGAAGGAAAGACAAAATGTGTCTGGGATCTACCAAAACTACCAGGACACGTCCTTCTCCAAAGCAAAGATCGCATTACTGCTGGTGATGGTGTAAAAGCTCATAATATGGAAGGCAAAGCTGCCATATCCAACCAAACCAATGGAAAAGTATTTGAGCTTCTCAATTCTGTTGGTATGTACATTTTTCTTTTGTTTGTTTGTTTATTTATTTATTTTCAATAATTTAAAATGTTCACAGCATTCCTTTGTGTGATCTTCCTTCAGTGTTGATCTTGGTCACAATCAACATTTTCAGATTTTTCCATTCTTGGAAGTAAACAAACTGTTTTTTGTCTATACTATAGGAGATATGTTGATTTTTTTTTTTCTCCCCTTCTTTGTACAAAAGCATATTAATTCAGGTGTAATATGCTTAGTATTCCTCAAAGAACAAATTTTGGATTGCTCTGTCTCTTTTATTTAATTAATAATTTTGGGTGAATTCAAATGTATATTGAAAATGAAGTGTAATTTTATGATACAGAGACTTGGCAGACAAACTCCAACTCTGTAAACTGAGTAGAGCGTAATAATATGTTGATGCTACTTGGACAAGCAAGATAAAGTAATAATAAATTTGTTAATGTTTTTTTTTAGGGGTGAGAACAGCTTATGTTAAAAGTGCTGGCGAGAAGTCCTTTATTTCCAAGAAATGTGCAATGATTCCCATTGAATGGGTTGCCCGCCGTTTAGCGACAGGGTCCTTTTTAAAACGCAACCCAGGTGTGCCTGAAGGATACCGCTTCAATCCTCCAGTACAAGAAACTTTTTTCAAGGTAAGGCTAATTACCAAAACCTTCAAAAACATGAGGGCTGTTAGTGATGTCTAAACACTGGATTTTCATGCCATATTACCCTAAAATGAGTAGTAAATATATCACAACATGAAAATCATGCAATAAAAATATTAAGAATTTCATGTTAGTTATGTAGCTTAAAACCTCAAGTTAAACCAGTTGTCATTTAATTTCATAATTTTTAAAATTTTATTACAGTTTATTTTGAACATAATTTTTTTAATTGTGTTTATTTGATGCTTGAAATATTATGGACAAAAATAATTAAATTAGTTTAAAAATAGAGAAAACAGATAGAAAGAAAGTTAGACAAGATATGTTCCTAATATTTATATTAGAATTTAAAAGTAGGTACATTTCTAATTGATTTTCTATAAGATTATATTTGTAATACATTTTTCACACTGGAAAAATAATTATTCTAAATCTACACTTGTCAAAGGGCATTGCATGTTCCAACTTTTAATGCTAGCGCTTTTGATACATTTTCCATTGCAAGTCTTATTATAATTTAACAAATTGTTTAGCCTCAGATTTTTTCTAATGCTGCCTCAAAACTTTTCTCCCATTTCATTACTAATATGTTTACTTTCTTGCATACTACGTACGTATAGGGAAAGGTAAGTACTGCTGCGGCAAAAAAAGAAAACTTCTGGTTTTTCTGCAAAACACAAATTGTATTATCAGTCTTTAATTCCAATAAAGTGGATAATTCCTATTTCTATATGTAGTAAAGTACATCCTCTAACTGATAATGTAGGGACACATGGGGGGAGGAAGATTTCCACCCCCACCCCTACCGCCTCCCCTATTGAACCATGCCTACTATTTGTGAAGGGCATGACCTAAGGGCAAGATGATTCACACTTTCACTTATGACAAAATATAGACATAACAGAGGAAAACATTATATGGAGGGACAGTATAATGAAGTTTCACTGTATAACATTTAGTTTTCTAGAAATCCAGTCTTTTGCGACCTTCAAAGAAGTCGATTTTTTCAACTCCTGAACTAGATTGTTAAATTCTAGGAAAAAATATTCATTAAGTGATGCACATGTAATTGATTATAATGTAATAAACTTTTTCAGGATGATGCTAACCATGATCCTCAATGGTCAGAGCAACAGATTGTATCAGCAGATTTTAACGTGAATGGCAGACGCATTGGTCAGGATGAAGTAGACATTATGCGCAGAACTACAATTTTAGTATTTGAAATACTGGAGAAAGCTTGGGCAACCCGAAATTGTGCTCTAATAGATATGAAGATTGAATTTGGTGTAGATTCTAAAGGTAAACTATTATCAATTTTTGGGGAATTTAGGAATCTCTGAAATAATGTTCTATGGTGGTCATTTTCAAACAAATTTACTTCCAGTAAATTTTCTTGCTTGCCTTAAACATCTACTTAAATATTTAAATGGAGGGCCTTTGAACAGTTTTAAAAAATGTTACAGTTTTGAAGTAATAAAATTCATTTATAATTCAGTTTTTGAAAAAAAAAAATTATTTCTTTAATTTAAAACCGGTTCCTATTAAAAAGTATTAGAAAAGATTTAGTCTGAACTGGTGTAATTTTTTCTTGTCACAGTCATTGCAGTCATGGAGTTGTGAGCTCCTTGTTAATCAGATTTTAAACAAATTTTTATTTATTTACTAGCTACCTAATTACCCAGAGGTGTCTTATGTGCTTAGTTTTATAAATGATTGAAATAAAATGATAACTCCTGCCTCTCCCTTTTTCTTTCACCTGCTTCACATGTTCCTCCTCTTTCACTGTATTTTGAATTCTAAAGTTCTAAAGAACTTTTGAAATCTAGAATGGTTTCATTGGTTATGGTTCCAGCCATATATTTAATGAAAATATTGGTTTCAGCTTTGGTCTTACCATTCAAACAATTTTAATTTTTGCTTGTTCCCCAATTTAAGATTCTTTGCTACTTTCTATTTAAATGAACTGTAGCAAATTACATATGCTATGATATTATCAGTTGAAAAAGTTACCAAATTTGCTCACTTTATTTATTTATTTATTTATTTATTATGTCAAAAACGGTTAAAAACTGTGTGTGACTTGCTATGGGGAGAAGTTAATTTGAAGTTACACTTCATGTTGCTATATAGGAGACATTCTTCTTGCTGATGTTATTGATAATGATTCCTGGAGGCTGTGGCCTTCTGGTGATAAGCGCTTAATGAAGGATAAGCAGGTTTACAGAAATCTCACCACTGTTACTGAAGCTGATTTGCTTGATCTCAAGAAAAATTTCAAGTGGGTTGTTGATCAGTTGGATCTCCTGCCACGCGTTTCAGATTCACTGGTTAGTAAATTGTCATATTATTATTTTTAACTTCATTTGGCATTTCCTTTCATGTTATTTATTCAGTTTTATTTGGTGTATGAAAGGTTGTTATTTTGATGGGTTCACCGTCTGATGAAGAACATTGCAAGAAGATTGCAAAGTATTGCAAGGACTTTGGATTACAGACAAAATTGAGAGTAACATCGGCTCATAAGGGTACTGATGAGACTTTAAAAATTGCTGCCCATTATGAAGGTATGGCTTTTATCATTTAATAACAATGTAATATTAATATATTACAATGATTTAAATAATTTCTTTTAGCAGAATTAATACAGTTAATGCTTTTGCTTACAAGAACTCTTAAGAAGTGGGGGGGGCTTAATTAAAATGTATCTTCAGATTTTCAAAACATTACAATTCCTTCATTAAAGTTCCATTACTGTTGGTTTAAATTTGAGGATAGGAAGAAATTATTATCTCGATTTTTTGCACATAATATTTCGAAGATGAACGTAACATTTGTGTGAATTCAATTTTATTTAGGATCTGGGGACAAAGTGGTTTTTATCGCTGTTGCTGGCAGAAGTAATGGTCTTGGACCTGTATTATCAGGAAACACAGTTTTCCCAGTTATCAATTGCCCTCCTGTAAAACCTGATAATGTTACTCAAGACATCTGGTCTTCACTGAATGTGCCATCTGGTAAGTTTTAATAAAAACTGAAAATTATACTTATGATTTGTTTGCTTTTGTAAAAGTGAAGGAATTCATTTTCCTTAAAGTTCCTTTGCATCGTTCTGAATTTTGACCAGAATGGATTGGGAAAAACACTACAATCATTGAGAAATATAATAAAAAACTGCAAACATTTATTTTTCACAGGTCCCAATTTTGGGACAACTACATTTTAAAATATTGGAGACAAAAAATTAAAATTATAGAACTAGAATATTGGTAATGTTAATGTAAATCTCTTAATTTTTTGGTAATTTAAAATGTAAATGGTCGACTACTTTTAAAGCATAGCTTAAGTGTAACATGGCGGATGTGTTAACTGTATGGACTGAAGTTTGCATCTCGGTGCAGAGAAAAAGGTTTGCTAGTGGATGTGTAAACTCATTTTCAGGTTCATGTTGTCTAATATTGTGTAGCCATTACAAATAATGCTAGAAAATATGTGCTGCTATAGAACCACTAATTATTATTTATACTTTTTGCATACTACCTACTCACTGTTAAGAAGGGGTTTCCCACCAGGGCAGTAAATGAGAAGTGCAAAGAAATATAAATCTAATAAACAATTTTTCAAGACAAGTTCATTTTGTTTGTCTAATTGTAATCTTTGTCATTTATGTGAAATGAATTGTTATGATGTTGCTGTTAATATTACAAGCATATTCAAAAGTATCGAGGGGGCAAAGAGAGTTGGAACAATGGCAATTTTTCGAAAGAAAAACTCATATTGTGGGCCCACAATACTGAAAATGTGGATAATCTTGTTCCTACAGTTGTTGAGAAATTATGATTTTTCCTATAGTTGTATAGAAATGGTTGCAGAACATTGATTTTGTCAAGGGTCCCATTCTTTTGATGGTTTGTGTAACTCCTCAAATTTGCATTATTAAAAAGCCTAAGACTTCATTTAACTTGCATTATTAAAGTACACAACCCAATTTCTTTGAAGTAATAATAATATTTTTGTTTTAAGGTCTTGGCTGCACTACTGTTGTTTATCCAGAATCAGCAGCTCTTGCAGCTGCTCAAATTCATGCCTTGCACGACTATCTTGTGTGGTCTCGTCTGAGAGTAAAGCAGCTTAATAACTTTGTGACTTTGAAGGTTGCTGATAAAATGATTCGAGATATGGAAATTTGATATGTTGCTCAATTCCATTGTTCATGCTCAAATTTGTATTCAAATTTATTTTTTTCAATAAAGTGAATCCAAAATATTTAAAGCTTTCTTTCTTTCTTTCTTTCTTTCTTTCTTTCTTTCTTTCTTTCTTTCTTTCTTTCTTTCTTTCTCTCTTTCTCTCTCTCTCTCTCTCTTTTTTTTCCTAACATACTACATATTTTGAATGTGATTTTGAAGTAATAGCATAATTTCAGATGCTCAAATTTTATTTCAAAATTGAAAAAATATTTTTATATACCATGAAACTTTTTTAACATCTAAAAACAGTTAAAAACTATAAATTACAACAGGGCGAAGTGAAGTTTGTTCAAGTTTTCTTGTGCTGTAGCATTTCCAGCCTATTTCGTATACATTAAGTTGAATTATAAATACAAGTAGCAGTAAGCATTTTTGACAAGAATTGATAAGAAAATATTTAAGTCTATGTAATAAAACCTATTGCAAAGACACATTTAGCTACACTATCCATTATTCCTTATCGTGACAAAATAGTCTTGGTGCAATAACATGGAGAAAGACTCTTTGAATAATAACCCCCAATCTGCTCCAGTAACTTGCCCAGATAGTGAATTTAAATTCGTGTCTAGAAGAAAACAAGGGGCCTCCTCCTCATTTGTTCCATGGGGAAAACTATTTGAAGCAATTCTAATCACAAATACTATTAATCAAGATAAATAAACTGGAGTGTTCGTACTTTATTTTCAACATTTAAACCACTTTTCACATCTCTTATTGGATTAGTAAAACGCATGAGCCATGAAATCAATTGTTGTCCTTCAGCACCTATGATTGTTATAGAAGTGCGAATTCTCTATTTAACCCAGGTGGCTGAAGTGGTTATATGTTGGGTTCCAACTCAGTGTTTCGAGGGGAAGGCCACTGGTTTGAGCCTGACTTATGGGTAACTATTTGAAACAAAACTCTATTGCTGCAGAAAACTATTCAACAATTGTAGAATCTTAATTAAAAATAGTTTGAGGCAATTCTACTCACATAAACAATCTTAAGATTCTAAATAAACTGGAAGTGTCAGTATGTCATTGCTGTATTTTGAAATTTTAAACCTGTTTACATCTCTCTTGATCTATTTGTAAAATGTACATCAAATCAATTGTTTAATATAACATTCAAATCAATACAATATTGTGGAGTGTTTAGAAATATTGCAAGAAAATATGTTCTTCGGCAGTACTACTTATTTCCAAGGCAGAGCAATTTTGAAAAATTATCTTTAAAATTTGAGGGTACTTCAAATGAAGCCTCCCATACATTTTCATACTTTTCACAAAAGCTGCTCCAATTTTTTAAAATTTCTTTTAAAAAACTTAAATAAAGTTATGAAAGTGACATAGATCAGATTTTCATGGTTAACTCAATTTTCAATAATTGCAAAATTTGAATTTGTTGGGCGTCTTCCTACAATTACAAAATTAAAGATACAAATTTTTCCTTCAAATGAAATTTGTTGTACTGTTTAAGACGGAATAGAATTAGTTTTGCTGTAATCTTTTGTTTTGTTTTTCTCAAATATTACACAAATGTAATTTTTTTACAGATCTCTCTTGTCTTTAATATGCACATTTCCAGTGCTTTGTAAAGACTATTGTATTTGTGACTGGAAGTGCTTGAAATGACTTTATGCATAGTTTTTCGAAAACTCAATAGTTTTCTCTGAAAAGTGGTTGAAATATCGAATATACAGTAGTACTTGAACGCAATTTTCTTTAAAACAGCTCCAAATTTTTCAAAGAATATTGCTAGTTAAGGTGAGGTTTTATTGTTCTTTAATATTCTTAAAATAATATTTTCGTTCTACTATTATTCATATGTATTGGGGCAAGTTACTTGTCATGCTACAGAATGACACAGATTTTCCCATATTAGTATTTTCTTTCAGCTAGCTATATGAATTTGCCACACTTTTGAAATCTGATATATATAAAATCCCAAAATACTTTTTTTTGAATTTTTTGGTGTCTTTATAGTAGAATGGAAATATTATTTTTTTCAAATCAAAGAACAGTAAAACGTCGTCATATATGGCAAAATTCTTTGAAAAAATATGGAGCCTTTTCAAACAATTTTCTACAACAGAGCTTATGCGCTACTGTAAATTTGAAGCTTTTTTTTTTTCCTCACAAAGTTTTGAGTTTTCGAAAAACTTCATTTGAAGCATTTTAACTCGCAACTACATAGTATTTTCAGATTGGTAGAAATGTGCATATTAAAGATGTGAAAGATCTTTCAAATAAAGTTCAGTTGTGTAATTTTTGAAAAAAGGAAAAGATACCCTGAAATGAACTTTACATCGTATTAAAGAGTATATTATACTATCCATCGCAAAGTTTCAAGAAACATTTTTTAGCCGTTTTTGAGAAAAAGGGTAAGCGTTTCTGAAAATGAATTTTGAGCTACTTTTCACACAGGACCGTTGTGTTTTCAAGAACCTTTACATGACATTATTTTAAGCACATGAACTCATAAATATAATAATGTAAACAAATTGCTGATAATATAAATATTAATGATGTAAGAGGCCAGTCACAAAAATTACATTTTTTGTAATCTTTGGAAAAACAAAAGAATGGGGCAATATGGCTTTTATGTCATCTTATAGAGTACATTTAGCACTATCCCTACCAAAAGTTTAAAGAAATATTTGGAGCCATTGTTTAGAACATCTTGTTTTTGGAATTTTTAAAAATCGCAAATATTGTACACAACATTGCACAGAAACTAGTAAAAAAAAAAAAAAAAAAAAACTGTACATGACCTTAATGAATGAACAAATTATGGGCAACTAATTTAATTTGAAGGAAAAACCTTCAATTTTGTAGTTGTAGGAAGACTCTGAAAAAATCATACTTTTGAAATTTTCGAAAATTCAAGATTAACCGTAAAATTCTGCCACTTTTATAAGTGTACGTTATTTAATTCTTACAAGAAACGTAAATAAAAAATGTTCGGAGGGCTTCATGTAAAGTACCCCCAAATTTTAAAGAATGTTTTGCAAAATTTCAAACATGCGACTCAAACTAGATTGACAGGGGTTTCTTCAATTTGGAAAACATCCTACGCATGATTTAGGTGCTACTAGTGTTCACAGACCTAAGACCGTCAATTGGTTTTTCGGAATCTAGGCTTCACAAACCGGAATTTTGGATACACCTACCTGGCCAGAGGATTATTTTCTTAATTTAGCAACTGGATTTACCCACTTTTTCGTTATCAGAACCCAAAGATTTTTTTGGCTGAATATCCAGTGGTGTTGTACGCAGCATTACAATACTTCCTCTATAGTACGTATATTACTCTGTTAATACATACGTATATGGGAAAGTCAAAATAGGTTGACGGCAAAACGTCCATCTTTCTGGTGTATGTTAAGAACACTAGCGCCTAAACAATGGAAAGGATATTTTAAAAACTGAATAAACCCCTATCCACTTAGCCTGAGTTGAAGCTCTGCGATTTTGATAAACGTTCATTAATTTTTTGGGGTACTATATATGAAGCCCATGGGGCATTCTCCAAATTTTCTCAAAATTGGCTGCATATTTTATCTTTAAATTTCTTGTAAGAATAGAATAAAATACACTTATAAAGATGGTGTAAGTCCCAATTTCAGAGTTAACTCGCAATTTTCAATAATTGTAATTTTTTTTCGGCAACTTCCTACAACTACAAAATTGAAGATAGAGATTTTTCCTTAAATGAAGTTTGTTGTCTGTAATTAGTTCTTTAATTAAGGTCATGTATAGTTTTTCTAAATTTTTGTAGTTTTTGAGCAATATTGTTTGCAACATGTGCTATTTAAAAAAATTGCAGAAACAAGATTATCTCAAAAATGGTTCAAAATTTTGTCTTTAAAGTTTTAGGAGGGATAGTACTGAATGTATATCGCGCCGCCGCATCTCTACACCACCACCGCGGCCTTGGCGACCGCCTAGAGGCGAACGCCCACGCGCCTAGCGGCAGCTGCGGCGGCAGGAGCGGACCTACTTGGACTAGTGCAACGTTCCAGTCACACCCAGGAGCGTCAGCCGACGGCCCCCGACGCAGCTCGCGAGGAGCGGCGTAGCGTAGAGCGGCCGAGGCGGACGGCAGAGGCGATCCCTCTACCCTCCACTCTGTACGAGTAGGAGCGCGTGCTGCACGCCGCCGTAGTTTGCATTCGAAACGGGATCGCTCCGGACCGCGTGACGCAGGCGTTCTTGCGAGCCATCAATCCAGACGAGCGGCCGGCAGTCATACTCAAGTAATCGTGACACTTCTTGTGCACGCATATCAGGTGACCGCGGGGGAAGCGACGGGAGAGACGCATTCCTCCTCGCCCGTACCACGCCCATCCCATCCCGAAATAATGGCTAGTTCTCCTACTTTTTACAGGAACAGCGACACTGTTGCATTTTGGAACTGCAATGACAACTGCTCGCGGGCGAAGCAGTCAGAACTACAGTTTTCTCGCTCGCCATAATATCTGTTATGATGCTGGGTTAATCCGCATCTTTCTCAAAAAAATTCCAGATTCCTTCTGCTACAGAAATGACAGAGCAGCACAAGCAGCAAACGCGACTGAAGCCAAGAGGGGGGTGGTACTGCAATACTAATACGACGCAACATACTCCATTATGTTTTAGTTCTTTCGCAGCTACAGCACGCTGAGGCCACTGCTGATGTCGTTCAGACGGATCGCGGGCTGTTTTCTATCTACGCTCGTCCTGACCGCTCCGCGGAAACTTGCACTTTACTTACTAGCTGCAGATATTGCAAAACTAGCCGAGGCAAACACAACTCCAACACTCGTGGCAGGCGATTTTAATGCCAAACACGGCCTGCAGTTCCCGCGTCACCTGCCCTCGCGGTCGTAAGTTGAAAGTATTCGCTGACTCAAACGGCTGTGAGATTTAAGTCCCCATTTGCACCTACCTATTACCCTTACAAAATCCCGATTTAGATATTGTGCTTTGCTAAAAAATCAATTACCCTCCTACACTGACAGTCAATTATGAGCTTTACTCTGACCACTTTCCAGTGATGGCG